CGGCCAGCATCGCTTCTCGAGGTGGGCCGGGCGCCGCTGCTGGCGCCCCCAGTTGCCCGCTACCCTCGGCCAGAGAAGCGTGTCCTTGTAGTGAAAGGCAGCCCAGGGGCGCGGCGGCCACGCCTGGGCTGGGCGCAGTAGGTACTCCGACCTCACGGGGGCCTGCGCGCGGTGCACCCACCGCCCCCGCGAGGCCGCTGCAGGGGTCTACCCCTTCCACCGCTTGCCCCCGCGGCCCTTGCCGCCGCCGGAGCCGCCCTTGTCTGCGCCCTTGCCGCCGCAGCCCTGGCACTTCTTCTCGTGCCCGGCGTGGTTCGGAGAGAAGCACACATGGCAGACGCGCCGCCTCCCGGCGGGGCACCTCGAGCCCGGCGCGGCCAGGCGGCAGGCGCCGAAGCCCTTGGAGAACTGGAAGCATACCTGCTTCTCCCGCTCCTCGCCCCAGCGGCGGGGCGAGCGGCTCCTCTGCTGCCCGCGGTGGCCGCTGCGCGGCGGGGAGCGCGCCCGGCGGCTGCGGGAACGCTCCTGGCGGGCCGGCGGCGAGGCGGGCCGGCCGGCGCGCCCGTCTGCCCGGGCGGCGTAGCGACCCCAGCCGGTAGGCGCGACTGCGCTGGCGCCACCCGGAAGGATCCGCACGGCGAGCCGCTCGTCTGGGTCCAATGGGACGCCCTTGCCACCTTTGGCCGCCCAGGCCGTCGCCGGGTTCGTGACCTGGTCGTTCCAGTAGTCCCTGTCGGCCGTCGCCAGGTAGAAGAGGGCAGTCCACGGCTTGGCCGGGCCCCACTCCCTCGGCGCGGGCTTCCCCGCAGAAAGATCCGCGCGCACCGAGCGGCGAAGGCGCTCGATGTGGTCACAACGGAGCTTGTCGTCCGCCATGTAGACGAGGTGCCAAGCCTCCGGCCACAGCGCGCTCAGCCTCTCGATGTGGCGGGCGCAACCGTCGAGCGCGGCCCTGGCGACAATTCCGAGCATCAGGCAGGCCGTGGCGAAGACCCGCCAGGCCGCCTGCCATTGCTCGAAATTCGCCGGGCCCGGGAGCTCCCGGGCCATCCACCCGCCCCCAGGCAGCGGGAGCCACGCCCGGAACTTCATGTTCCGCCGGACATTGCGGTCGAAGGGCCCGAAAACGCCGAAATCGGCGCATGGCGTGGAGTGGAGCTCGCGGGTCCGGTGATCCAGCGCCGTGAGCTGCTCGAGCGACGGCTGGTCCTCTGGCACCGGCTGCTCACCGCCAGTGAGTGCTCCGTAGTTCTGGCTCCACTTGATGTGCATGTTGTCGTCCGCGAGAGGAATCTCCAAGGCGTCGCCTTGGTCCAACACCTCTGCCATCTTCACGATGCGGCCCTTGGCTGCTGCGGCAGCCGGGGCGGCCGGCGGCGCCGTCGAGGCCGGCGGCGGCGCGAACGGGTCCACATCGATGTAGTCATCCCACGCTGCCGGGCCCCCCTCGGCTGCGAGGGCGATCTGGCGCGCCAGGCGCCACACAAGCCCCCACTGCACTATCTGAATTGGGTGGAGCGCTGCGCCATTGAGCTTGGCGTACGTTCCCGCCGCAACGATCGCATCGGCCGGGAGGAGTGCGACGTTGCGGATGTTGCTACCAAGATGGCCCACGACTTCCTCGAAGGCCTTGAAAGCGTCGATGTTGAGGCCGGCCCATGTGACCAGCTCGCTGATGCTTTGCCACGCCATGGCCTCGGCCCTCGTAGGGAACAGCGCCATCGCACGTGCACCCCACCTGGCAAGACCGCGATGGAATGGGAAAGAAGAGAAGTAAGAGAGGAAGAGCAGGAGGGCTGTGTCCGGGCGCAGCTCGGGCCACAATGGCCACGGCGCCCTCGGCATGACACGCGAAGCCCCCCCTACCCTCCATGGTTGGGGCGCTAGGGGAATGCCAGGTTCTTCAATTACTCCGTAATTTTCATAACCCGAGATCATTGACCACATGCCGCTGGCCCTCGAAGTCCCAGCCGAGCCCGCGCTGCGCGAGCAATGCCACGTCGCTCGGGGGCGCAGCCGATCTCCACGGGTGTCTCGTTTTCTGAAACTTGGCCATGGAGCGCTGCGCCTTGCCGGCCAGGACCTGGGCCTTCGGGGCCGATTCCCAGACAGCCGCGACGGGCATCTTGGACCCCAGGCTGCAGGTGCACATGCGGAGCCCGACCGAAGCGCCTCTGGGGAGCTCGCCGAGGGAACTAGCTGCACCAACGCGCGGGCCCGCTATCTGGGCAGGGGCCAAAGGGCCGCAGCAGCGGTGCCCATTCGATGAACCATCCCGATCTCCGCTCCAGCCTGCTGCAAAATCTTCAACCTCCTGGAACGAGCCGACGACGAAGCTAAACGAGCACTCTGGGCGCCGACCCTCCTGACCCCGCCCAGCGCCGCGTTGGCCCCGAGATTCCCAGCGGCGTTCGCCATGCACATGGGAGGGGGGCTCCAAAGCTGAGAGAAGAGCTCTTCAACGTCCCGAGAGCATAGGTAGGCGCATTTCTTGTACTCC